CATCTCTAATTCAACCCCACCCTGATTTCTCTCAGCAGTTAGTTGAAGATTTCTCTAGAACTGTCTAGACAGCTTTGACTGTAAAGGTATTGTCAAATGACAAAAACTTTATTTCGTACCGCGGGTACTGTAACCGGTTGTCTTGACATTCCGCCATAAGTGACCATTGTTCCTTTCGGCCTGAAATTACAAGACTTAAATCAGTGAACGCTGCCACATGGTTACTTGCCATTTCGTAATTTATGATACATCAGCAGAAATAAAAAGAATTAAACACACATTAATATAATATAACTGAAGATTTAGTATGTGGCGAGGAAACCCGTAGGGAAACTAAGAGGCTAATGAGAGCTACAGGCTCCTCATATTTTACAAAAGTCAGGTATCAATTTTTTGGCGTGATTTAGGTAAAAAATATTTTAGGTTAAAAACGAAAGAACACACACACACACTATAGACCAACGACCTTGAACGTGCATGCATATCAAAAATACTATGCACGAGAGTCTCCAACAAGCAGAAACCTTTGCGCAGCGCTTAACTATCAATTCGTCTCACTCTTTGCTTTAGATTTCTTGTAGTTGAGCTCCAAAAATTTGGTGATCACCAATTTCTAAAAGAAGTTCCTGATTGTCAAACAAAGTCTCCTTTAGTGACAGCACCATAAAAAAAATGAAAAGAAAATAGTGTGGATAATTTGAATTCTAGAGTTAGAAACCAAAGGTTTAACACAATTTGCAAATGAGAGGCTGCAGTTTTGCAAAACTTTTAAAACATTTACAAAGGGTGACTCAGTATCCAGGAAGGGGTATCAGTTAATGGAAGAATAAGATAAAGGGCTTTCTTTCCATCCTGCCAAGACCAAGACTAACTGCCTTGGGGAAGTATTTGGGAAAATTAAAAGAACCAGTAAGTGAATATTTACTTACGCTAGATAGCGGAAAAGGTTCATGGAGCTCTTCCCTCCGACGCAGTTGAGGGCAAGTTTAGGAGGTTTCACATTCTGAGGGAAAATAATTTATAAAGAATTAATATCATTAAAGCACAGTTCAAGTGTTGCAAAAATTGGACACTTGTGTCTAGAATCAGACACTTAAGTGCCTAAAATCGGACGATAGTGTATAAAATCAGACACCAGTGTCTACATCAAACACTAGCATCTAACATCAGAGACTAGTGTCTACACTAGGACACTACTGGCAAAAATCAGACACTTATTACTAAAATCAGACAGTAGAAGAAGAAGAAGAAGAAGAAGAAGAAGAAGAAGAAGAAGAAGAAGAAGAAGAACCTTTATTAATTTATACTGCTCAGGGTTAAGCCCCTTCAGACCCAAAAAGCTGTCTGTTATCAATGGGAGCCCTAATAATAATAATAGTAAATATATCTTATTAACCAAGCGCGAGGGCCGTACTGGGAGAATATCGGCCTGAGGTCTTGACAGTACAGACCTCACTGCACTCGGTCCATACAAAAAAGACCGAGGGCCAATATTCTTCCAGTACAGTCCCGAGCAAGCTTGGTTAATAGGAGATTTATTGTACGACTGAAGTTCAAAGGGACACAAGTGCGGTATCATTCGGGACCATTCGGGACAGTGCCCGGTCCAATACTGAGAGAATATTGACCAGCAATAGAGCATTTTGATTGGTTGATTTTAGTTATTTGCCCTCTGACTTCCCAAGTCATGTAATCATATCTAATATCGGACATTGTCAAAAATCAGTATCAAAAATCTGCCACTAAAGCCCAAAATCGAAAACTAGCATCTAACATCCGACACTAGTGTCTACACTCCGATGTGTAGTGTCAAAAATCTGACACTCAAGTGTCTACAGTCAGTAACTAGTGTCTACAATCAGACACTAATGTCTACAATTAGACACTAGTGTCTAAAATTGAACACTGATGTCTGGAATCAGTGTCTGATTTTGGGCTACTTTCAATTTTTGATTGAAAATGGCTCTATGAACAAATCTGGCCAATAGTCCATTTTACAGTTGTGTGCTTGGTTGCCAAGCCTTTGAATGGGAGCAAGGCTAGGGGTGACCTTGTTATGATACAAACCTTGCTGCCTTTCAAATGTAAATCACTTTGTTATCATGCTAAGTAGATACAGGTCTCTATCACAACAAGGTCACCTTCAGCCTCACTCTGAATCAAACAACTGTAAAATGGCCAATTCAACCTGTTACTTAAGTTGTCAACACATGTCATCATCTCTATTGAGCCAGACAAACCTTAATGATTTCTTTCATTTCAGGGCTTTTCACGTCCTCTTCAGTAATGACAAAATTAGCTCCAAGGTTTTTAAGATGAATTTTCAGCTCCTCCACATTTGGTCTGTAATGCAAAAATTGATGTTAAACATTGACCACAATTCAAAGGAGTAACATTTAATGTTAGATGTTACATTGTATGTACTTTAATTTATTAAAATCCTTAAAATTAAGATAAAATTCAGCTTTCAAGACCATTAACCTATAAGTGATAAGCATATAGTTTCTCCCAACAGAATCACCCCTAAATCAAACATTAGGGTTATGAGAATAAAGGAAATGATCTTTAGGTCAAAAATTATAGCTCTATAGTGGGAACCAAATTCTCCTTGTAAGTACCATAGCAAACATATAGAAACAGTAAGGGGAATTTGCAAACTGATGTCAGGGTGTAAAAGGTTTGTAACATACTGGTAGAGGTTCTTGTTAGTAGTAAAACCCCACATACTGCTGGGATTTGAAAGGCCATGTACTCAACATTTACAGTACAATAATTTCAAAGAAGATGACAATTTTCCATTTACCTATTACGAATTACATTGACAGTACTTAAGCCCCAGGCTGCTGCAATTTGGATGAGGGCCTGCCCCACACCACTGTTTGCACCATTTTGGATAACTGTATCACCTTGATAACACAAAAACAGCATACAACAAAACAACTTAGAGTAATTTTTAAACAGACGACTGCACCTTCTACTGATTTAGTAGACTAACCACCCATGTGAGATGCTGAGAGACACAAGATAAGGATCATTTTTGTCAGGGTAACCCCTCAACACTACCAGCACCCTAACAATAGCATGAAACGTTGGTACCAATGAACAGAATGGAATGAACTTCCTTCATCAATGGCTCACAATGTTATAAGATGTTTCTGAGACATACAGCTAATAACACTGATGGATCAGCATCCACAAAAAAATGAAAAAATTTCATTAACAAACATTTTTTCACATGACCTTGATGATGACTTCCTCAGAATTGTTAAAAATCTATGATTTAATTTTTACTACGTGTCATTATAGTTCTTTAGGATGACTTAAATGCAGTTGTACATTATCCATACTATCATCTTTAGGATGACTTAAATGCAGTTATACATTATCCATATTACCAGGCTGCAGATCTTCAAAGTCCTTCAGTAACCTGAATGCAGTACAAGGGTTTACACTGACTGTGGCAGCAGCTTCCACAGGGAGCCCAATTGGGATTTTTAAAACTTGATCCTCTGATACCACTAATTGCCTGCACCAAGAACCTTTTTTTTTCAAGACAAGAAAATATGCATAAATTGTTCTGGACTTTTTTTAAAAAGACCTGGTGTCCCTAACATTGATGCATTGAAGCATTTTATACTCTCAATAATATATACCATATGTTTTCACCACAAAATACCTAAACACTGATCTGCTTTCAAGATGACCTGATCTCCTGTATTGAGGCTCTGCACATCCTTCCCGACCTCTATGACCTCTCCCACTCCTTCATTTCCACCGACGGCTGGTAGGGATGGTTTCAGCGGATAAGTACCTGTACATGAAAAACTAACACTTTGAAAAGTATTTTGAAAATGAAAGGTCCTAACCATTGTTAGGCTGTACGTAGATTCTCCTCTACACCTTCCTTAGAAAATGAGTTTTCCTGCTCTTTAACTGGGTCGGACCCTACAAAAGAATAGTAGTAAACAACATAATACCCAGCCACCTCATTCGATAGTGATAGTGCAAGCTATCACAATTGATTTATGTAACAAACGCATCGGTAACATTTCTCAATGGTTAGCCAAACTATACATTTTACTCTTGATCAGTGGTTTCTGTAACAAAATCAAACTACACTAAATCTAACTGCCGACAATAAATGACAACAAATGAAATAAACCCAGTAAAATGAAAGCTTAATCAAAACATACTTGGCAGTTAGGATTTACAGGGACACCAGATGAAACATTATGAACATACCATGACAACTACATAACATTTATGAAACTTTTTGCACAAAAACTTAAATATGTAATGTTGCAAGGGGACTAAACCCTACTGTGTGGGTGGACTGCAGGCCCTCAAAATTTGTTCCAACAACTTACATTTCTAAACAAACATTAAACACTTTCATTAGGCTAACATAAGATATACCATAACAATTCAGTGATTATTTCAGACTTCCAAGCATTTAGTCTATACTGTAGACCATTCCCTGCAGTAAGAAATATTCACCAAATTCTCTCAGAATAACTAAAATAACCCTAATAAAATGCCATGCAGTTTAAAAAAATTAAGATGCTTATTTAGTGGACAAATTTTGCGGACTTGAGCATATCTTAAATAACACTGCCAAGTGAGAAATAAAAAACCTAGCTAGCAATTTAGTAATATACAGAAACTCAGAAATTTGTCCACTAAAATACCAGTGTATTAAATTTTGAAATCGCTTAACATTTTCCAACAAAGAGATATTTATTATGTTGTCTAGTATAATAAACCATCATAAATGTATGTGGAAAACCTTGAATCTGATTGATGTCAGCTGGATTTATTGGGGCAGCTAGCATCCGTACTGACACAGAACTAGGGCCAAATTTGCCTTTTTCTGCATACTCTAATCTGTTTGAGATATTATACAAATATATATTCAAATTTCTTTCCATAAAAAGTGATTTGAAGAAATTGAATAAGTTGAAAATAAAATAATGTGTTGTTTACAACCTAAAACAAGGCTGCAGTCTAGCAGTACCCAGTGGCCCTTGCAGCACCTTACTTTTGCTCTTGGGAGACTCAGGAATTTTAGGTTTTTCATACAACGCATATGCTGGGCACCCTGGATTTCACAGTTTTAGAGCACTGGGCTCCATTCAATTTCCAATAAAGCACAGCCGTGTAAAACTTTCACTTAAAGACTTAATTTACATATTTTTGCTTGTTTTATTTATTTAAAAAATATTTAAAGAGGGAGCCCAGCTCGCCATAGCGGTTTTCAGTGAGGCTTGTGTGTGATTGGTCTTGACAGGACACCTCAATGTATATACCCCTAATTTAATTCCCCTATGTTCAAAACTTAAATTTACAATTTAATCCAAAAGTCGGTGGCGTTGCAAAAAATATTGAAATAAAAAAATATTAGAAACTGGAATTTTTATGATCCATAATCAACCTTATTTCTCACCTCAAAACTTTCTCTGGATCTCCATGTTCAGAATACACAACAGATTCAGATCTAGTACCGAATAATCGCCAAATATTTGAAACAGAAACGTTCTTCGACTTCCTTGCGAGCTCAGGATGTATAACCTTGAACAACCTGGCAGCCATATTGGAATCATTGTAGATCCCAGATCCCACTCCTAACCCTGTTCTCGTTCTGAAAATTTTAAGTGTCCCAACATTTATTTTGAGGTGTTTCCATTTTATTTGTACACTTCATTATCTGGTTAGTCTTCTTGATTTAATTATGAAATGGCCAGAAACGTGAGAAAAATAATCGCAAATAAGACCAAATTTCCAAGCAGCTGCCTACATTTCCATGACAACTCTCAAACAACTTTCCCAACATGGCCGCCAGAATTCCGCATTCTGATTGGTCTACATAGAATCTTCGTCTGCAGTCAAAAGCCAAACATCATGTCTGGTTGACTTTCGCGCTTCGTTCCTCTTTCAATTCGCGGCAAGTCAAGAGTTCATACCACATGATCATTACCAAAATGTGGAAAGCAAACTGACTACTCTTATTTGAACTCTGTATAATGGAGACTGGAGTACATCTACGATTTTAAACATGGCAGCGAAGTGGCAGACGACATTGGGCTGTCATGAAGTGACGCTAAAGAATAAATGTGAAGTACGGCAAATTGTCACCAAAACGTGTCCAGTTCAAAGTAAAAATTATTCATTAAGCTACTAGTATGTCAACAGATTCATCTAGTGAGAATATTGACGAACTTACAGAAAAGAACTTGGTAAGTTATTTCAAACTTCTGAGGTGATATGAATTGAGTTTATCTATCTAATAATCAGTCAAATTTACATGTATCACATTTCCTGGTTTTATAAAAAAGGAAGTTTTCGTATACGACGTGAAAAAGTTTTATCCAGATTTCTCAATCTCGTTAATAATTAAATATTAGTTACTAAATACCCTTGACTATGTTTTTTGTAGGAACACGCTGCTCTCATAGTAAACATACATGTAACCATCATACGAAAACGAAAGTTTTTTATTTATCAGACATTGCAATCTCATTGACAATTACTTTTATCACGAGGAATGAAAGGTTTATGTAGAGAAAAGCTGAAATTCGATATTAAGGGAGTCAATGTTATCATTATTTTCCCCACTAATAAAGGCTCCATTTTTAATTTTTGAAATTGAACGTGAAAAAAAAGAAGACCTCGGCATGTGTGTCTGGGTAACAAACGAACGAGTCTTGGGGTTTTTTAGAGCTTGCTATAGATGCTTTCTGCTTTCTACTGAATGATCAAAATATTGGCTCTTTTTACTTGGAATTGATTTTCTAAGAACATTTCAATGGAACTGATAGAAGTGCATTCTTATAAACAATTATCTCTTTCATGCTAAGGATATTGCCCAATTCAGCTAATATCACCACTGTTAATTTTGGGTGGCAGAAAGCTCTTTCTGATGAATTTTGATTTTGAAGTTTGAGTAGAATGAAAATATGATGTGAACACCTAACAGGAGACTTGGAGCAGTGTTCTCCTTTTCAGGGAGGGAGGGTAACCTGGGATATTTATCATTTGAACATTGAAAATTATGTTTACCTGTTACTTAATGACATTAGATTTTGTTAAACATTTAAGAATAAATATTAGCGAGAAAAACACACAACGTTTCAATGACTCCATGTCATCATTCTCAAGTGAGAAGAGAATAAAAATGAATAGTTAATTTATATCGTACGAAGGTGACAAGCGTAAAAAGTTAAAAGTTTTTTTTAAAATTTAAATAAATAATTGCGCATGTTGAGTTCATAAGTGTAAACAATCAAATAAATAGTTTCGCGCGTATGGAATCCGATTGTTTGTTCAAAGAGGGCTTCATCTTCTTTATGAAAAGCATTTCATGAACTAAACAGTCCAGTTTCCTGGTGCACTTTTTAAGTACGTTGAAATGCTTGGTCAGGTCGCCGATGGTTTGTAGG